GTGAGGTAGTCGGACGTCATCGTCTCAAGGTTTCGAAGTGACTTCGCTCGAATCTTGAATCCAGTTGCGAAGCTCGCGGTAGTTGGTTTTGCCGGTACCGAGGACCGGGATCGCTTCGACCTGACGAACTTCATCGAGACGCATAATACCTTGGAAGCCAGCCGATTTTAAAGTTTCGTTTGCTTCCCGCAGTGTTATTTCCTGCGTAGTAAACAGCACGATGCAGCGGCCTCCTTCCTGCTCGATTCCTTCGACAGCGACTTTAGGGCCCTCCTCATCGGCCGGAAATTTTTCGGCCAACGGAGATTCCANNCGCCACCGATCTTGAGGAAGCGTTTCATGCGTCCGCGAAACTGTATGAAACCATCTTCATCCTTGGCGACAAGATCGCCCGAGTTGTACCAATGGTGGCTGTTCACCTCAATAAATGGTTGCGGTTTGTCATGCTTGTAGTATCCGCTGAACACCGAATCGCCGCGAATCAGCAGTAGGCCTGTTTCCCCTTGGGGCAACGGTTCGTGCGACTCGGGGTGTACGACCAACGTATCCACGCAACCGATCGGCAGGCCAATAGTTCCAGGCTTATTTCGACCAGGTCGATTTCCAGAGACAACCGGACTGCATTCGGTAATACCGTACCCTTCCAGCAATTCCAAGTCAGGTAAGATTTTCATGGTCTGCTCGTACAAGGCAGTCGGGCATTTTTCTGCTCCGACAAGGACCAATCGCAACGATTCCAACTCGCCAGGTTCACTGCTGCTGACGATGTACTGCAGGAACGTAGGCGTCGCGAACATGAGCGTTGGCTTGTAGGCCGCAATGACGCGTGCCAACATTCGTGAGTCTGTCGGATCGGCGTGATGTACGACACGAATTCCAGTTAACAGCGGCATCAACGCAGTCGCCGTTAAGCCGAAACTATGAAACGGAGGCAGGAACCCAAGCAGTGTATCGCTGCGGTGGAAATCCATGTGGTCGATTCCGCCACGGATGTTAGCTATCAAATTTCGATGCGAAAGAGGCACTGCTTTGGGAAGGCTTTCCGAGCCGGACGTAAAAAGCACAACGGCGGGGTCATCCACGTTCGGCTGAGGCAATCCTTTCAAGAATGCGTTGGGAGCAATGTAAGTGGCAACAAGCGTCTTGAGTTTTTCGAAGGTCGAAATCTCTTCTCGAACGTCTTCGAGATAGAACATTTCGACACCTTCCATCTCGACGCCAAGACGATCGAGAAAGCGTCGCGATGTGATTACGCGTTTGACTTCCAACTTCTTCGCGGCATGCTTGAGCCCGGCCGGTCCTGTTGTCCAGTTGAGCATGACGGGCAGCTTGCCCGCGATCAAAGATGCTAACAACACCGAGTCTGCGGCGACGGAAGCAGGCAGCATAATACCGACCGAATCTCCTTCCAGCTTGGCAATCCGCTTAGACAGCAGCGTTGCGCCGATGAGCAGTTTGCGATAATTCAAGCAGCCAGAAAGCTGATCTGCCACTGCTGGATTGTTCGCACTTTTCAATG